GGGTACAGCACAGTCACCGAGCTGCTGTGTCTTCCCCCTTCTGCACAGGATATCAAGTTACTTCCGGATCTTCCGGATGACGCCCTTTTCTACAGCTCTGCTTGGAGCCCCAGGGATCCTCTGCCATGGTCGCTTCCCGCGAAAAGTGTGGGCAGTAGGAAACGTCCCCTGCGAAATGGGCGAGCCCCTCACAAATGCGGGGCTGGCAGATTCAACAGTTCAGCAGAAGACAATAACGAGCAGCCGAATCATGACACAGGCAGAGGACGTCGCTACTGCCGCCTCCTGCAGACCTGCAAGTTCGGCAGGCCAATTCTTCTTGGCAAAGTTCAGCGGCATCTCAATTTTAGCGCACTAATTAGTGACAGCAGCAGCACTAGTAGTGACATGAACGACGGCTGCACCAGAATTCACAGGCATTGCAACGGCAAAAGAAGCCGTGTCCCAAACATACCGGAGCAAACAACGGGCATTTGTCCTTGCAGTGTTACAGATACCTGTGCGGGCCCTTCCTATTTGGGTGCATATGGCATAAACGCCTGGGGGAATCATGGAGACAGAATCAGCGCAGCAGATGCAGCAGCAGCATACAGCAGAAGCAGCAGTGATGATAGCACATCTGTGCTTGGCTGGAGTAGGTGTTCTGCGAAACCTTTTTTCGGTGGACAGCGCCTTCAACTGTTGGAGCACGGTAGACAGGAGGAGCGACAGATGTATTCTTTAACTGATGGCGCTTTGTCAGATTGTGAATCCCTGCAAGAGCGAGGCAGCAGCTGCGGGGTGCGCCAGCTACAGCTGAATCGTCGGCTCGATATCTTGGCTGTTGTCACTGCCGCAGGCCAACTACTCCTATTGGCATGGTGCTTCCCGTTGAGAGGCTATACGCAAATGTGGGGTAGCGGGGGAGCGGTGCCTTTTACTGGGAGTGAGGGTGCAGCCAAACACGGGCGTGCGTCTGGGCAGCAGCGTTTGGACCGACCGCATCAAGAAGTGCAAACGTCCGCCGGAGCGGTACCTAAGGCTGGCATGGCGGATAACTTTGTCCGCGGGAGCACCGGTGGCAGGATGCTGAGCCCTACCAGTGCAGGCAGCAATCCCCGTAACCGCCGAAAGGGCTGGTGGAACATTTCCATAGAAGCGGGACTTGACGGTCGCATTTCTATAGGTCACTCTCCTCAAGAGACAGCATCTGTGGATGTACTGCCCGCGGCAGAATGCGGTGACGGCCGCAATTGCAATGCTAATAGGAAGCTGAAGCCGTGGCGGCCCTTGGGGCTCCAGCTGAGGGCAAGCGCAGTGTGTTGCTGTGCCCTCAGTGGAGAGAAAAGCCTTGTAGCTGCTGGTCTGGGAAGCGGGAAGGTTGAGATTTATAGGCTTTTATGGCCTAGAAACCCAGTGCAGCGGACTTGCGACTTTCAGCAACCTCAGCAAGGGCAGCAGCGTCTCCGGACCCTTGCCCACAGGAATGTTGAGCGTGATGGGTTCACGCTTTTTCCTCATCTTCTGCATGTGCTAGCCGTTCCAGAGGACATAAAAGCAGCAGCAACGGCAGAACGAGGGCTCGCAAGAGCGGAGCAGAGCGTCGGGGCTCTGTCGACAGAAGGCGCTGCGTATTTGCAGCCTCAGAGTGTCCAAAGTCTGCAATGGACTTCAGACGGCGCGGCCCTTGTGGTTAGGTGGTTGAAAGGAGGCACCGCAGTCTTTAGCCATACGGGAAGAATTCTTTTCTCACTTCCTAACCCTCCCAGTGCTAGCATTTCTTTGGTTTCCTTTCCTGCAGCAGGTGACGCACTTGGTGGGATACTTACGACCTCTCCGTCGCTGGAGCGCCAGCAGACCTTCGTCTTCACACGTAAAATTTCGACAGCTTCAGCAGCAGCTGTAGCTGCAGGTGCTGCTGCAGGGTCTGGGCAGCTGTGCTGTTGGATCATGGGCAGCCTCTCACTTTTACATGTTTGTTCGTCCTTCGAAGCAGTCTCTCAACTCGAACGCCAGGGCAAAGGAATCAAGACCTGCACCACTTTCCTGGTAGATAAACATCAGTTCGGCGGTAGCGTTTGCTTCGATAAACTGTTGGAAGTGTCTGTCGTGCGGAGCGGATCAGTTACACCGGCAACTTCTTCCGTAGAGATTTGTGGAAGCCGCTGTGCGACAGATCTGACGGACCGGTAGGCCTTTGGACATTTAATTAATATTCAATTTGGTGCTTTCTGCCTTGTGAAAAGTTATCCTAGAGGAGACTTCTTGGCGTGAAACAAGCGAGAAGTCACAAATGTCTGTGGCTGCGTTATGCCCAGGGTGCTGCTCGGTGGTTCTCACCTCCTCGTATGGAACTTTATGGGCAGAGCCAAACCGTCTGCATCACTATCGTTTATTCCGCTTCCCCCTAATCTATATACAACAAGGGCGTTTCCTGTGCGACAAGCGGCTCTTTCCCCAGACGGAGCTCAGCTGCTAGTAGCTGGGACAAGAGGCTTCGCATTATTTGCGTTAATGCAGCGACGCTGGCGGCTCCTTTGTAGTGAGAGACAGGAGACTCAGATACGAGTGGGAACCCTGCCTTTGGGGTGGTACACCAATGATATTTTTTTTGTTTCGACACCGGCATCTAGCCCTTACGGCGCTGCTGCATCGGCAGCCGCAGCTGCAGCTGCACCACCAGAACCGCGCAGCACACTAGGCTACCCTGAAGAAGCACCGCGTTGGAATCTTCCGGCGAAAGTACTCAGAAGGTTTGAAATCGCGTTTGCTTCTGCCGTAGACGTTTGCCCATCCAGGTTTGGTGCCCATGTGCCAATGACGATTCATGAGAAAACGGCTTGGCTGCAGCAACAGCAGCTGCAACAGCAATTTTCATCACGCCTTTGGATTGCAGCCGTAGCCGGCGGTGGTTCCAGTGAATTGCTCTCAGTGTCCACGAAGGAAAAAGCATACAAAGTCAGCGCCAAGAGCAGCAGTAGCAACATGTGGCGGTACTCTGTGTTATTCCTGAGTACAAATGAGCGGCTTGACGTGCGCCACCGTGTTGCAGAAATTCAGCGTCTCCCCGCCAGGCCGCAGACGTCTACCGTTTTGCCTAGACTGGAACAGCAGCCGTTGCTGCGTCCAACAGTCACCCATGGGTCCCGCTGCTGCATATGCCATGCTGAAAACAGCGATAGCGGCAGTTGCTGCATTATCTGCAGCGGTTCGGCAGCGCTGGCCCTGCGATGCCTTGCGGCAGGCAATACGGCGGAGCCTCTCCTGGCTATATACGACGCTCTTGGAATACTCACAGCGTACCAGCTTCAGTGCCCGGCAAACCAGCAGCAGCAGCAGCATCGGCATTATGATGTTGTAGCTCTATGGCAGCTTGATCTCACGGATTTTTGCGACAGGCCACCTCAGCAAATTCGCTTTGTGGGTTGTGCGTGGCTGTTGCTACTGTTGGTGCAGTCCGGTGACTTGCTGCTTCTGCGCTTGACTATGCCAGGATCGGGACATGTTCATCACCACAGAACGCATCATATTCCGCAGCTTACTGTGGAGGCTTCCGCCATGATCGCTGAGGGCGTTACTGGCTTGTGGGTGGGTGCTGAGGCTCAGCTACGACATCACTTCTTGCTGCCGTCCGCACGCCTTTGTGTACTTCCTTCACGACAGCAAAATCACAAGAACCAGCAGCAACAAAGGGTTCAGGAAGAGTCCGAGCATATAGCTGAGGGAGTGGTTGCATGCTGCTGCACCTGCTCGGGTTCACTGAGGCTACCAGCACAAGCAGCTAAACACGCAGAACAGAAGAAGGAGGTGCTGCAGGAGTACCAGGATGAGCATGCATCGTGCAGCCCGACCTCAGTTAAAATGCACAACAGCATTGATAGTACGCACCTTGGTTTGGCATCAGTCCCGGCAGACGGGTTACCTAAAACCAGAGCAACTAGGTGGAGTAGTAGAAAATGTGCGAAAGGCGCTGACAGTGAAACAATGAATGCCCTGGAATGGCCTCTGACGATCATGAAACATAGAGGGAAGCCATCTGCAGCAACTTGCCATGTTCCACATCCAGAGACCTTTTACACCAAAGAAACAGCAGTTATTTCAACAGTTGCACCTGAATACTGTTCCGCTTCCCGACGGCGTGTGTTGAGCAGTCCTGCGGTGCACCTGGGGCCTCTGCTGGAAAGACTTGTCGTTTTCCCTCGACCTGCTGCAGCTATTCCGCTCGTGTCTGCGTGTGGCACCGGCAGCAGCAGCCACGGAGTAAGGCGCCAGCAGAAGCCGGAACAAGATCACCTTATGCACTTAGTGAGGGAAGGCTACGCTCCTCTGTCACTGCCTGTCCTTGCAGCTGAGCAACCTTGCAGGACCGCAGATGCAACGGATAAGGCTGGGAAAGCCGCCGGAAACGTATTGAAAGGTAGCGGTGGATCATCAGCAGCGAACACTAAGGGCCAGCACCCTAGAGCTCGACCCAAAATCTTTTGGGCAGCGGGGCGCCGGCAACTTTCAGACGACTTTGAAAAAAAGTTCAAGATGCGCTGCAGGTTAGGACTGCGTTTTTTCCACCGGACATTTTTTGGACCACCGGACAAGCAATTTGCACTTTTACATGTAGTACAGAGCTCACAAAGGCGTAGATGTACACATGTAATGTTGCAGCATCTGTGTATAACGCTGGAGTGACTTTTTTACCTGCCTCCAAGCGTCTTCTTTTCTGCGCAGCCTTGAGGCATACGCCTGTGGTGCATCATGCGCTGTGCCATCGTCTGCTTCATCAGAAGGGACAGAAGCACAAACAGCCGTTGCGGCAAAGCCTTCAACACCTCCGGAAGCTTTTGCAGCTGCTGAACGTAAAAAAGCTGCAAATTACCGCTCGGAAGGGTCCTTCTCTGACGCGGATGGCTGCATATCCAGCGGGTTTGACTCCTCTTCTGCAATTAATGGTCCTATTGTTACGCCACAACCATGGGAAGCTCGAGCCGACAGTAAGGCTCTTTAGTTGTTACCTGGAACTGTCGTCTCAGTGCTCGCTTGCGGGCAGCCCCTTAGCGGCTGTTTTAGTACGTCCATCAGGCTGACTCTGAGGAACTGAGACCTGCAGAGATCGTTTTGGGGTAGAAGAGTCACTTGAATTTCATTCACATCAGATTCGAACTGTGTACCTAATGGCGAATGCGCTTCAGAGTGTGACGTCTGCTGCTGTTGCGTTGCCGGCTGGCACATCTGGGCGCAAACAGCGGCAGGGCTTTTGCTCGCCTCCGTCAGTTTTCACTATTCCGGCACCGCAGAGGGAGCAGCGGCGGGGAATCTTTCACCGGAGCGCCTCGTAGCTGCGACTGACGTGCGCGTGAGATCTGCTCTGGTGCTGCCTGTGGAGGCGCGGCCTCAGCCTTTAAACATCACTGGAATTATTGGGGAGGTACGAAGTATGGCAATTTTAACCGTATTGGGTTTTGCCGTCCTCACGTCCACTTTTTTTCTAGCATATGCGTGAAAGCTAATATGGTTGAGTACTGGTGCGGTGAAGCATCACGTTTGCAGCCAGTTCATTTGCTTGAGTGAACCGTACGTTGCTTTTTTTTGTGGTTTCAACGAACTCCCCGCCAGATTCTTCAACTTTGCTGCCAACATCGTAGGTTTAATCATTTGTTCGGTATCTTGTTTGTTCAGCTGGGAGTGGCCATAGCGTGTGCTCCCAGCCGTGAAGCTGCGCTGGGATTTCCTTCGCATAAACATCCGGTTACGCAGATACGTCTCCTGCTGCAGCCCTGTACTCATACACTGCTGCAAAGGCAGGTGCTAGCTGCTGCTGCGTATACTCCCACGGGTGGCATGGCACCTGTGATGCCTCTTGGAGGCTGCTCGGCGGATGCTTCTGCAGATGAGCCTTCTCCAAGGTTGAACAGCTACGGAGAAAACGCCATTGACATCAGAGGGAGAGCTGATGCCAGCAGCAGCTGCAGGCGGCTCTTCATATGTGTCGCAGAGCTGCTTCGCGAACTCTTGGCGTCTCCCTTTGCGCATCATTTGTTGGAATTGTGTCAGTTTAGCCTCTTAATGCGCTGTATTTCTACCTACTTGAAAGCAGCTAAGCTGAAGCGTTTGCAACTGCGCCCACACAAAGTTCACTTGCAGACTTCGCTTTACCCAAGTGCATCTGCTGATGTGCGGGTCGTCAGCGGCATTCCTTCCTCGGCCATTGAGGGCATATGCGACAAGGTTCGGGAATCTGCTGCAGCAGCTCTTAAAAATTCGTCGGAAGGTGTCGCACTGCAGTGGTTGTTGCAGCTGCTGCAGCGGAAAGCCCCGCAGCTCTTTGTTGCTACGCTTGTTTTCTGCATGAGGAAAACAGAGCCCCTTGTGTCCCCAGCAGTCCTAGAGTCTTTGTTGCAGGAGCAGCTGCCTCCTGCGGATCCTGTAACCCTGTTTTGCTCATGCCTGGAAATCGGGCTTCTGCACACAGCTGCACTTTACTTGCTGCCAATCCAAATTGCTGAAGGTCCACTGCAGGTGCTGCTTTCATTTTCTCATTTGGTGCCTTTTGCAGTTGTTAGCCCTGGAATGGGCTGGGTGTAGTTTGGGCATCTCCCAACCGCGATATATCAACCCACACACCTTCGTGTGCCCCATGTGTTTGGTGATTTGTTTGTTTGCTCACAGGTGCGGTGTCGCCGGGTGCTTCCGCTTCTCCGCGCCGCCCTAGCAGCTGGAGATTTTCATTTAGTTCGTAGGCTGCTGCATTTCTTTTGGGCATTGTTTGCCGAAAAGCATCAGGTACGCTCCGATAGCAGACGGGGCAAGACACAACGGCACCTTTCGCCACAGGCTGCATGCGCAAGTTCAAACGAGGACGTTCTGGAGCGAGCTCAAAAGCTTCAACCTCGGAACCACCAACAAAGCCGAAATCGCCAAAAGAACGGAAGACGAATGCACCAGAACCTGTCAGAACTACAGTCGTTTCTTTGGAGGCCACTACAAGAAGAAATTCGTCTGAACATTACTGGTACACAAAATACAGGAGATGGTGTTGAAGAAAGCTCATTAATTGATCTGTGGCTTTGTCGAGTACCTGAGGGGTTACCACCAGTGGATCGCCTAACAGCTGCACGAGTATATCGAGAAGTTGAGGTTGCAGTAACCTTTGCTGCATCTTCACTACTCCGACAGCATAAATGGCTCCAACTGTTTGACTTTGCGACCACTCTGGCGCTTGATCTTCCGGCTTGGCTGCGTAACCGTAGCAGCGATTTGTTGGAGCTCTCTTGCGAGCCAAATAAGGAAATTGGCAAGCAAAAGAGTGTATCAGCAGACATTTGGATTGTCACTTCGACAGCGGAAACTGCAGATGTGCACGGATATGCAAAAGGGGGAAAAACGGCGGATACTGATGTCTCCATTCGTCTACCCCAGATGCTACCGCGTACATTCACTGCAGCCGTATCATCTTTTGCAGAGCAGCTGTGCGTCGGCCGTGCAGCTATTCCCTTGCATCTGAGAAAACCTACTGAGCACAACAGGAGACCTCTGGAAGAACAACGCAGCCAGCAGTATTTTCTTGCCGAGCACAAGCCGCAGCCGGCACCATTTGGTTCGGCGGTATTAAGCGCAACCTTTACTCAGTCGGGAACATCTCCATCATCCCTTTTTCCACGATTGTGCAGCATGGGGAACAGGCAGGAGCAGGCAACAACTGAGATTGCTCGATATTTGGCACGTGTTTTGTTACTTTCGGGATACCCAGCGTACACCCTAGCGCTGGCCTCAGCCGTACGCGATCAAAAAGCAATAGCGCAAATAATCAAGTGGTATCCTGAACTGCGTCGCCACTTGTCACTAGCAGGTTACCTGCATGGTACGGCAAATCTGAGTGGGTGCTGATACCGTTGGCCGGGATGGAAACAAAGATATGAGTAAGCAAAGCAACAGCGCCATCAGTAAGACGACCCCATCTGCGTATAAACCGCATTTGGCACCGCATAGGAAACAACGTTTGTCTAGCCTTCGTTGATAGAAGAGCCTGTTTTTTGATGCAGGCGCAGTTCGGCGAGGGGGGACGCATCTGACAACGTGTTTTCTTCCATATTGATAGTTGGGCCTGTATTGGAAATCAATCAGCTTTGCCTTCTACAAGTAGAAATGACTGCACTTTTGCTTTTGCGCGTCTTGCGCAGCTGTTTTGTAGATGTGTGCAAATTGAACCTCTTACTTTCGCTTGCTTTGTTTCGCAAAATTGTGCGTTATGCTATTCGACACAGCTATACTCAAGAGATATCGAAAATGGCAAGGCAGCTAACCAACAGTGTCCGCGCCGCGCTAAACTTTTAAACCGTATGTATTGGAAGCAGTTCGGCAAACGGGTGCTAGCATCTCTGAAGCCTTTAAAAAAGTATATTTGTTACGTGTCAGGTGCTGTGCCGAGGACGTGAGCTGCATATTACTAGTGGTGTATCTCTTCACTGTGAGCATGCTCCCGTACCCAGAAATTTGCGTACAACCGGTAGAACGAGAAACCGTATAGATTCGTCTCATAATTCCTGTTCAACATCCGTGTAGGCAGGCACATATTATGCCTGAGGATTTTGAAAACACGACGTAGTCAGCTTTGAGTTCGGATGCTCCGAAAGTTCGGGCACAACGCATGAAAATTTTGAAAGCGTTGGCAGCCCTAAGAATTCGGGCCCACCTTGCAGTTTCACAGCGTACTGCGTCTTTAGAGCGACTGCGTGTATGAAGTCTTCATGCACTTTTAGTTTACTTGATAGTGTTCCGATGTATGGTGACGAGCCTCCTGATTTGTCGTCTGAGAGATCACATCTACTGTATACGTCTGAGGCAGAATGTTACGTAGGAGACCAAAAATCAAGCTGACGGACCGGTAGGGTTTTGCATCCACTGATTCGCCTTTCAACGTAGACTGGAATTCGAATTATTTGTGTGGTCCGGCAAGACGCCGGCCCGCCCGAATTGCGCCAGGGTGGGATTTATATTACAAAAATGGCTATACCATAGCATCAATCTGCCTTACGCACCATCTCAAGACTCCTCCCAAGATTATGGGGCCCTTGCAGCGGTTCATTTGTACTTTTGCCTACTGCTTGTGCAAGAACAGCTCGAATATCACAGCTCATGGCTGCCCAAGCTTGTTTTGCGCTTAAATGACTTTTTGCCTCTTGGAAGCCAATGGTCCCTGTCAAACTACCCAAAGCCCAAATGGTTGGATTGCCGTTTTAGATATTTTCAAAGCCGTTATTCCTATCGGAGGAGTATTCATGTATCCAAAGAAACTATTTATTCTCAAATATTCGGCGCATTTTTTCTAAGAGCCTAGAATGGTTTTTCGCAGTGAGCTCTGTGGCGTACGCTTACTTCGGAGATAGTTGCTGTCCCAGCTCGTTCCCGCTCCGTGTCCCAGATTGTAGTGCGCGGCACAACACTGTTGCGTCGGAACGACGCCCAACGGTTGTGGAATAAAATATTACCCAACACGCGTAATTAGTGAAACATCGGCTAAAGAGATATGGTTTTTCTTGCAGATTAGGCCTAGGGTTATCTGTAGATAGGCCAGGGTGTAGGACTGGCAGTCTCGCCAATGTCGCAGGCGTATACGCAGTCACCATGAAACACCGGCGTTGCCACAGAGAAAGAACAGCGGTACAAATAATTAGCGCACTCCTTTTACATTTTACTGCGTTTTGGTGCTATTATCAATCTGTAGCCAGGGTATCCATGTAGAGGATACGTTAGGACTAGCTCCCCACACTTGGTGCCGTTCCTGGAAATATGTGGTTCTATACTCTCTAAAGCCCTATAAAAGTAGAAAAAGTAACCGTATAGATGCATGGGATCCAGATTTTTGCAGTGCGTGAATCGTGTAGCTGTGCGCCTTCGGAACAGAAGATTGCCAGGCGCTCTTTCCACAAGCTTTCCCCAAGAATGTCCCATATACGAGAACCCGATCAAGCAGGGAAGCCAGCAGATCTTATATCGGCGATACCAGATCACCAAGATTCTGGCACGCCTCCACAGAGAGGTGCTCCGTACAAGACCGGAATTAAAGCCGAATTAAAACCCCCGCTGCAGGACTGAACGAAGAAGATCGCCCGGTTGAAGCGAGAGGTAGGGACCTTATGTTACAAATGAGTGTGGCAAAGCAGACGCCCACGGTTCTGCAGCTAATGGTAGGAAGAAATGAAGGCAACATGCAGAGCTGCCTACACCTTATGGAGACCTGGTTTACACCAGTGCAGGCCTCCTCCCCACAGGGCCTAGGAGGCGAGCACCCCGAGTCGGGCGGATTTGAGGATAACAGATTTTGGGAAAACTAAGAATAACTGTATTTCGATATATATAGGCTACTGTTTCAAGGAAATGGGCCAATGTTAGGTGCCGATCTTAGGCCCCTGCTCGAGGGGGCAGGTAGCAGCGTAGACGGAACAGGGTTTAGGGTTTAGGGTTTAGGGTTTGGGGCGCTAGAAGGGGGGTCTGGGTTGGAGCATGGGGCGGGGTGAGTGGTGATGAGGTAGGGTTTAGGGTTTCGGGAATAACTGCGAGGGTTTCGAGGAGCGGCACATGCTAGGGTTTAGGGTTTAGGGCTTGGGGTGAAGTCGCAGCAGTAGGCGCTGCGCACTACACCCACACCGCCACATTTCTTGCATATTTCCCCCGGACGTTTGGTACGTTCCCCTTTGCTGGGGCAGACGTGTGCCGGATGTCCGCGACCCTGACACTCAAAGCAATTCGCGTGGGTTCCCCCAGGTCGATTTTCAATTTCCTGGCGCTGACGGGGTCCATTTGCTTAGGTAGCAGCCCTAATGGCTCGACTGGTCCTTTCTCGGAGTTCCAGCACACTCTGCTTGGGCTCGTAGAGGCGTGCTGCGGCTGTCGCCGCTTGTTCCAACGACTGATATTTCACCTGTCCGTTATTGGTTAGTAGAAGATGGAGGTCTGTAGGTAGCCCGGTGCAGTGATAGTTAGCGAGTTCGTCGGGAGCAAGACCCAAACCACGCTCCGCTACAGCCGCAAACCGGCCCGTGTATTCCTTCGGGTTACCATTCTACCGTACTTTAGCCAACTCCGTTAACAATTGACTCTGCAACATTGTTTTGTCAAACCGCTCCAAAAGCCTGCGCTGTACTGTCGCCCAGTTGCTTAGGTCGATAGTTCTCCGTAGATGCATCCAATACGTTAGAGCCGGGCCCACAAGGTGGTCAATAAGTGCATTTCCCCACTCGCGCGGTTCCAATCCCATCTGCGTGTACCGGCGCTCGATGCGCAGCAGAAAGGCCTCCATAGTGCGGCCGTCTTCTGGTAGTATGGGAAACGTTGCGTCCAATTCCACTGTGCCCCCTATAACAGTTCTTATCACACTCATAGCGGACTGGAATTGGTCCCACGTGACGAAGGGACTGTCCCCTGGCACAACACTGGTCATAGGTATCACGTGCGGGGGCGCCTCCTTATGTCCATGAGGCCGCTCTGCCACGGTGGGCTTCGGAGTAGCATGGCGATGATGGGCTGGCGTCCCGCTCGGCATTTTGCTTACTGACATTGTAGAAGTCTCCTGCGGTGTGGGGCCG